GTAGAGTTATCTGTGTCTTGAACTTGTAAAGTTTTCACTGTACATTGACAATAATTGAAATGACCTTTGTTATCGTTTTTTTTCCAATAAGAAACGCGATAACATGTTTTTAAATGTCTGAACCCGTTATTTTTGCAAAAAGAAACACAGTTATATTTAATTACACTCAGTTACGTAATAAAATGTATATTTGTATACTAATGAGCAATCCTCGAAACTAAAATCATAAATTTCCTATACTCCCAAAATTGCAAAATCTCATATGTAGAGGTACCGAATTATATTTAAAATCATATCACGTCTAAAATATACCTATTTTATTTTAGTTAAATTGCATAAACAATTCTCACGCAAATACACAGTATGTGTTTTTGTAATATATTCAAAATTGATACATCGATAACGTATAATATTAAATAGCATAGTAGAAGGTATACTATGTATTATGCATGAACAAAAGTATAAGAAATAAAATCAATTCTATGTACTAAGAGGGATATATTCAAAAAGTTTAGTAACAATATAATATATTAAAAACTGAAAACCTTTCGGAGGGATTTCCAGATATTTATTATTCTATTCACAGAAAGAAAATGATTACCAAATGTCTAAATGTGTATACCTATAGTCTGGGCTGGGATAGCTCACTGCAGGGTATCTGGATACTGGGAAGTTACCCGGTGGTCCATGATTCGATTTTGAAAATTAAAAGCAGTGTAGCTTGATTGAGAAGAAACTAAAAAATATAGATCTACCTAATATAAATATTTATACAGGGGGATTTAAGTCAATACATACGTATATATTGGTATATTGTAAATCAGTTGTTTTTCTGCATATTGCACAACTGTTTTATTTCACCCAGCTACCAGGATGTAGGTACTATTCTTACCAGTTACCATTACCTATGCATACGCATAACCAATAATCATATATAATATTATAATAATTATGTTAGATGTTGCTACAATTTTACTTTTTGATTCTATGCATAAAATTAACAAATAATATTTGAGTAAGATTATAATATTGTATAATAATATACACAAATATGTTTTTCTTTTTAAAATATTTTAGATGATATTATTAATCATATGTTTTGATAACTTCAATTTGTATTTTATCTATTGCAAAGAATTACAATAGAATAATCCGCAAATATTATTTTTAGGTTGTAAAATATTTGTTTCAATTTAAAATCAGAGATAAAATGTTAATGATCTTATTAAAAGGCGTTTTTTTATCAAACGTATACGAAGCTGTTTCAAGCATAAGTTTTCAAAGTTATTTCGAAAAAATACTTAAATTACACAAATATTGAGCAGATACTCATATATTATATTTATCGATAGTCTAAATAGGTGCTGAAGAACTACAAGACATGAACCTTTAAGTTAGGAAGAATCTGATCTTAAATTATAAATTATAAACGTCGAACGGTAATAATAACGGTTAATCAATTTGGTTGGGGGAGGGGGACTTAATTGTTATTCTAAACTGCAGTATATAGACCGACAGTAGTCCATTATCTATAGTTACTTAACCCAATCTGCCCTTACTAAAAATTATATTTTTTTATCTTAAATAATAAGCTATACTATTTTTCGAAATACCTTTTATAAATAACAAAAAAATCTGCAAACACGTACTTATAAGTTGGTTTAAAGTCTCTGGACGTGATTCCTAATAATATATTAAATTGTAATAACTACCTTTATTTTAAACTTATGCTGAAAAACTGATTTTTCTATATTTTTAAGATACATATCTGTTTTATTTTTATTTTATACTATTCTGAATATTCTCATTATTTTTTTAAAAAACAAAACTAAGTCAAAATTAAAATTAAACATGTAATGTTTGTTTATTTATTATTTTTGTAACCTACTTTTAATATTTAATCAATTTATATTTCTCTCGTCAACATTTCATTTTTGTAATTTTTATATTAAGTATACTCTTGCTTTTCGATACGAGGTTCTACCTCAGTCAAAAGTAATGCTAGTTTTTTCCTTCATTTTATACCTTTACCCGTACATCTTAAGCTAGTAATATATATATTATTATTATTTATTATTATTATATAAGTATAATTATTTTTTGTGATAAAAAATATACTATTATTTAAAAATACAAAAATCGTCCATAATTGCAAATTAAATTAATCATGTTTAGGTAGGTAATGGATTAGTTCAATATTATTATTTAATAATTGTTTAATTGTTAATAGCTTAGATTATTTATTGATTACTGCCAAAGTTCTTCAAATTTCATAGCCTAACAATTTTAATATTATGTAAGTATTATATAGGTATTCTGTAATCTGTATCAAATACATAACATAATGATGTATGTCATATCGTTGTGTACCGCGGTAACTGGTAATGGGGTGTTTTTACTGTATGACTGCAAAAGTGTGAACCAATATTAAGAAGTTCCAGAAAATTTGTTTTTGGAAGAGTTAAAATATTACCATACTAACATACTAATATATTGTAAATAATTAAGTATAGGCGGATAGGTATTTTATTTTTTACCGGAATATATTTATTATGGCCACATTGCTATAGGGCAAAAAAAAATCGTTCTCAATACTTTTTATAATAAATCTTTTAATTAGAGCAGCACATTTTATTGTTTTCCAAATCTAGTAGTATAGTATATACGTTTCGTGTACATTTGAATAGAAATAAGAAGTTTTTTTCAATATTATAAGGTTATTTTTTTCATTTTTTCGGGTATTTTAAAGCCTTAAGGATATTTACACTAAACCACTAAAGTCCTGTTCTTGAAATTGTTTTTTTTTTATAAATGTTCACCTTAAAAAAGTAACTTTGAAGTGCTAACAAGGTTTTTACCAAATTTAATATAATTCCTAATTTTGCAAACAAATCCGTAAGACGTAAAATCGTGACGACAGATTCCGACGGAAAATTAAATGAGAATAACGTTAACATAAAAAAGAATACAGATTATTGTAAAATCAATGTATTCATCACTCAGCTCAGAATCTAAAATAAAATAATAAATACATTCTTAATGATATAATATATCAGAGGTATTCAATTATTTTTCATTTCATATAGCTCTTCCGTTTTTTCACACATTTTTGGTGGTTCTTAACACAGAAAGGAAATTTCTATCGAGTGGCGCCAAATAAAGTTTGAATAGTGATTCAAGTGACCTAAACTTAGATACGCTGATTCCAGAACACAAACGTAGTCGACTGGGGTAAAATGTTATACATGGATTTAATTCTGAATGTACCCTGAATCTATAATCTATATGTAAATATTAAACATCAAGTAAAACTTCACTCGGAATTTACCCGAAGATGAAACACAAATTAGGTAATTTTATAAACGTTTGTGAATGATATACTGCGTCACCGCACTAGGCATGTATAGTAGGTTATCAGCGCCAGGCTGTATTTGTGTATTGCCTATTTACGCGTGGCGACCTTTTCATTCCTAAGAAATTTTTTAATTCTGGTACATTTCCAGCCGAATAAATGTTTTTTTTTTTAATTTTCATATATTTTTACCTTTTATTATTATGGGTTATACATGTTTTACCCATTCAATGAATTCCTCCCCAAAAAATAAACTACTTAATTGGCTAATTAGTTCTAAGCATTTTTTTTTAAACTGTATGATCGGGGTTTCTCAACATTTATCGATTCTCGAGTAATGAGTCCAATATAAAACGCATGAATAATAATTAATAAATTGCTAAAATGATAATATTTTCGTGTACCTGGATAAAAGATAATACATTTAACTTTTTTGGAAATTACCTAACCCACCATGTATATTTTTGTGTAGTTTGATTCGTTTTTAGAAATACTATAAATTAGCTGTTATCATTTTATTTGCCTCATTTATTCATTTCATTAGATTTTAATACAAACAAGTGAACGCATATAATATTATGTATACCTACGTCAATGGCTTGTCAATGTAATTTGTCATCAACGCACTTAATATTATGTTTTAATGGCAATGAAAGGAAAAACAAATATATAACATTACGTACTGTACTTTGTATTTCACCTTTTTTTTTACTACTAGTGGGTGGTGATAGTAGTAGTAACTAGTAAGTACTCCTACTATCACCATCGCATAATTTAGTATTAATCTTCTACACTGTTTGTAACGTTGAATAATATATTTATTATTTATTAAACTTAATAAAATACAATAAATCATAGTAAGTTTTAACTTAAGATGGAATTTGAGGCCTTACCTATCTCAGAATGGACATTTCTATACCATATTTAATAATTACCACATTCAACTCAAAGATTAATGATCTATGAAAATATAGGCTTTCACCAAGCGTCTTGCAATAAAGGTACTAGGTCATTATCGATGGTTCAAGTTCATAATTATATTTCATGTTATACAGTAGTTTTGTCTAACTATTTTCAAATCGGACTTTCTGACGAGGTTCGAGATAGCCGCTGCTATCTGTTATATATTTACACATATTTTATTAAACGTCATTTAAACGTTTTATGAGGCGCGAAGGAAGTGTTCTCTGAATTATCTTATAATTATTTCTTAAACGTTATTTCAATAGACAGTATAGTCCCAATTGACATAACAGTCTTAATTATATGATCCGACTGAGATTATCACGTGTTAAGAGGTCTTATTTTCCACGAATCGATTACGATTTTTGTATGACATTAATTATTTCATTAATGTAATAATTATCATTTTTGCTTAAATGGTTTCGTCATCCCACGATGAATTATAATTTCATATCTCCGCCGCGTTTAAATACTCAGTCGAATTATTACAATTATTGAATTATTACTTAAATACTACGACTGTAATTATTATACTATTTTATATTCGTCACGTGTGTGCGTATATAGACTTGTTGTAGTGGGTCTACGACAATACGCGTTATCTCGCAATACGCGTAGCATAGATTATTTGCTGTCGATCGCGCGATGTGGTTAATCCCTGGGGCAAATAATTGTCGAAAAACTATCGACGAAAACTGATCAACGTGTAGTGGTGACGCCTATATTATGTGATGTACATTATAGTGGTAGTAGTGGTGGAACAACAGTACCTATATAAAAAAAAAACCAATTTATTTATCCTCCTCCTCCGGGAAACAAGTCTGGGTTATTATAATAATATAGCGTATATTGTGACGACTCAGCAGATCCAACACACACACATACACACAAACACACTCAACGGACGGTTATATTTTTCAACCGGTTCGGTTAGGTTAGTTCGACCGGCCGTTCATTCAGTCGGTGTCACTACAGCCACGCGCTCGTCGAACTGCATCACGACCGTAGATATATTTTATTATAACAATAATATAATATTATCTTCGTGAATCGTATTTCGTTGACTCAACCAATATTGCCGCTCTTTCGCGTCTACGTTTGTCTTCTCTCTTGCGAATAATTTTATAATATCAGGTAACACTCTGCATCTTACTCACTGCAGTCTATTGGAAATGTCAGTGTACCGAACTGTACAGTCATACATATTGTGTACTTTATTATAGGACGAAATATGACGCAGTCTTCGTTGAAGCAAGTGATCAACTTCGGGGCTGGACCGGCAAAGATCCCCAAACAGGTAGACTATCATTAAATACCTCACAAAAAAACGCATGTTTTGTTAAGGGGCGAAACTCCAGTCACGAAACAGTAATTTTTTTGGTAACCTTAAGCGTTATGAAAACAATTTATTTATTTATTTATAACTTGAAATTTGAAATCATTAGAGCATAACGTTTTAGAAAAAAAAAATTATTTTACTACTTTTTATTGTACAATTTTTAATTTTTTACTTTTTCAAATGTTTGTCAGCTTGCTTGGGTATCTGTGAAACTCCTCTCATTTAAAATCAAAATGCTTAAAGTTGTCAAAAAAACTTAAACATTTAATTCAAGGTTTCTCATAAATTGTAATTAGTGTAATTTATAACATAAGTTGAGTGTAGGTAAATTCATAGTACATTTTTATCTTCATAATGACAAACATTTTCAAATTATTTTGAGTTTCAACAATTTTCTTTTTATATCGAAGATTTGAAAATGTAACAAACGATTTCTTATTAGTTTTCCTCCTTAAAAAAAAAAATATTAACCGAAATTAATTTTTTATGAACGTTTGAAATTCAATATTTTTCAAAATGAATTTTTATACACGTAGACTATTTCTCATGGAACGATTTTCTTATTTTGTTGAAATCAAAACACAAATGGGTAATCGTAAATACTTGAAAGTTTTTTCTTATAATTATAATAACTTTTTCTATACATGGTATAATTAATGTTTTAATTCTTTTTAAGTTATTAATAGACATTTTTTTAGTTTTTGTTCTATAATTAATAGTTATCAATAAAAAAATTTCCCTCTGTCGAACAGCTTAGAAATTTTATACAAGGTTTATCATAATGCTATGGGTAGGAGGTTTATTAGCATTTAAAGTTCAACTTTTTACAAAATTTATTAAAATCGCAAAAATGCAAATTATTTTGAAGCTTAAGATTATAAAATGTTTAGTTTTAATAGTTTTATTTAAAATTAAAAACAAGGTTCCTCATTAAACGTTTAAAAAATATATACAAACACAGTTAAGCAAAGAATAACAATTTTAATTATTTTGTTGTAATTGAAAAATATTATTAGCGGGTAATTAAAATTTTTAAAGTTTATTATTATATTTTATACACACAGTGACATTTTTATTTGTAATATTTTCGGCAAAAATTAATTCAACCTTAATACTGTATTACTAATAGTAAAAGAATCACTTCAATAGCAGTAATTAGTAATATCATGTTATACATAGTTTACGGTTTATTATATTGACAAACCATCATCGTTTTTCATTTAAAAATGATTTTATATCATTCGTATACACATCCATTACATTGACATACTCGGCACCTACTGTACAGCAAAGTGGATCCACTTAACCACCTTTTTTTATTTAACCTGTAACTTTTACAAATTAAAGCAAATTAAATTAAGTTTCTACTTGAAACTTAACTACATTTTTCTATATCTTATAGAATTAACAATCTAATTATAGTACATATACTCGATGATTTAAAAAAATTAGAAGCCACGACCATTGTTGTTTTGTAATTAAAGATAAATCAATCGCCCTGTGTCCCCGTACAATAGCATATTTTCTCACGTGAGCAGCTACGCACCCCATCCGTCAGTAGGGAAGGCCGTTGTACAATAGATGTATTTTTATTTCCGTATTTAGGTTCTGGAACAGGTCAGAGATGAACTCTTGGATTGTGGTTGCGGCATCAGCGTTATGGAACTCAGTCACCGGTCATCTGAGTACACGGCCATCAACAACCGAGCTATTGAGTTGTACAGAGAACTACTGTAAATATAAACACGATGTTATTAATTATTACTTTATTAGTTATTTTTATTATAAATTTCATAGTTTCGTACCGCGTGCAGGTTATGAGAAAGGGAACCATAATTTATTTTTGTTTATTAGAGTATTAAAAAAAAATAGAGGTAAAAGTTCCAATATCTTTCAAAAGCGTCAGCGAAAAATAAAAAAAGGAAAAACGGAGATTTTCCGTAAATGAAAACATTCTGATGTTCTATTTTCTTATTTTGTTGTAATTCAAAAACTATTAATTGTAGCTAAATGTTCACCAAATTTGTGTACATAAATATTTTGAAACGTTTTGAGCTATGTCTTATAGCCATTTNATATAGGTATTCTGTAATCTGTATCAAATACATAACATAATGATGTATGTCATATCGTTGTGTACCGCGGTAACTGGTAATGGGGTGTTTTTACTGTATGACTGCAAAAGTGTGAACCAATATTAAGAAGTTCCAGAAAATTTGTTTTTGGAAGAGTTAAAATATTACCATACTAACATACTAATATATTGTAAATAATTAAGTATAGGCGGATAGGTATTTTATTTTTTACCGGAATATATTTATTATGGCCACATTGCTATAGGGCAAAAAAAATCGTTCTCAATACTTTTTATAATAAATCTTTTAATTAGAGCAGCACATTTTATTGTTTTCCAAATCTAGTAGTATAGTATATATACTTTTCGTGTACATTTGAATAGAAATAAGAAGTTTTTTTCAATATTATAAGGTTATTTTTTTCATTTTTTCGGGTATTTTAAAGCCTTAAGGATATTTACACTAAACCACTAAAGTCCTGTTCTTGAAATTGTTTTTTTTTTATAAATGTTCACCTTAAAAAAGTAACTTTGAAGTGCTAACAAGGTTTTTACCAAATTTAATATAATTCCTAATTTTGCAAACAAATCCGTAAGACGTAAAATCGTGACGACAGATTCCGACGGAAAATTAAATGAGAATAACGTTAACATAAAAAAGAATACAGATTATTGTAAAATCAATGTATTCATCACTCAGCTCAGAATCTAAAATAAAATAATAAATACATTCTTAATGATATAATATATCAGAGGTATTCAATTATTTTTCATTTCATATAGCTCTTCCGTTTTTTCACACATTTTTGGTGGTTCTTAACACAGAAAGGAAATTTCTATCGAGTGGCGCCAAATAAAGTTTGAATAGTGATTCAAGTGACCTAAACTTAGATACGCTGATTCCAGAACACAAACGTAGTCGACTGGGGTAAAATGTTATACATGGATTTAATTCTGAATGTACCCTGAATCTATAATCTATATGTAAATATTAAACATCAAGTAAAACTTCACTCGGAATTTACCCGAAGATGAAACACAAATTAGGTAATTTTATAAACGTTTGTGAATGATATACTGCGTCACCGCACTAGGCATGTATAGTAGGTTATCAGCGCCAGGCTGTATTTGTGTATTGCCTATTTACGCGTGGCGACCTTTTCATTCCTAAGAAATTTTTTAATTCTGGTACATTTCCAGCCGAATAAATGTTTTTTTTTTTAATTTTCATATATTTTTACCTTTTATTATTATGGGTTATACATGTTTTACCCATTCAATGAATTCCTCCCCAAAAAATAAACTACTTAATTGGCTAATTAGTTCTAAGCATTTTTTTTTAAACTGTATGATCGGGGTTTCTCAACATTTATCGATTCTCGAGTAATGAGTCCAATATAAAACGCATGAATAATAATTAATAAATTGCTAAAATGATAATATTTTCGTGTACCTGGATAAAAGATAATACATTTAACTTTTTTGGAAATTACCTAACCCACCATGTATATTTTTGTGTAGTTTGATTCGTTTTTAGAAATACTATAAATTAGCTGTTATCATTTTATTTGCCTCATTTATTCATTTCATTAGATTTTAATACAAACAAGTGAACGCATATAATATTATGTATACCTACGTCAATGGCTTGTCAATGTAATTTGTCATCAACGCACTTAATATTATGTTTTAATGGCAATGAAAGGAAAAACAAATATATAACATTACGTACTGTACTTTGTATTTCACCTTTTTTTTTACTACTAGTGGGTGGTGATAGTAGTAGTAACTAGTAAGTACTCCTACTATCACCATCGCATAATTTAGTATTAATCTTCTACACTGTTTGTAACGTTGAATAATATATTTATTATTTATTAAACTTAATAAAATACAATAAATCATAGTAAGTTTTAACTTAAGATGGAATTTGAGGCCTTACCTATCTCAGAATGGACATTTCTATACCATATTTAATAATTACCACATTCAACTCAAAGATTAATGATCTATGAAAATATAGGCTTTCACCAAGCGTCTTGCAATAAAGGTACTAGGTCATTATCGATGGTTCAAGTTCATAATTATATTTCATGTTATACAGTAGTTTTGTCTAACTATTTTCAAATCGGACTTTCTGACGAGGTTCGAGATAGCCGCTGCTATCTGTTATATATTTACACATATTTTATTAAACGTCATTTAAACGTTTTATGAGGCGCGAAGGAAGTGTTCTCTGAATTATCTTATAATTATTTCTTAAACGTTATTTCAATAGACAGTATAGTCCCAATTGACATAACAGTCTTAATTATATGATCCGACTGAGATTATCACGTGTTAAGAGGTCTTATTTTCCACGAATCGATTACGATTTTTGTATGACATTAATTATTTCATTAATGTAATAATTATCATTTTTGCTTAAATGGTTTCGTCATCCCACGATGAATTATAATTTCATATCTCCGCCGCGTTTAAATACTCAGTCGAATTATTACAATTATTGAATTATTACTTAAATACTACGACTGTAATTATTATACTATTTTATATTCGTCACGTGTGTGCGTATATAGACTTGTTGTAGTGGGTCTACGACAATACGCGTTATCTCGCAATACGCGTAGCATAGATTATTTGCTGTCGATCGCGCGATGTGGTTAATCCCTGGGGCAAATAATTGTCGAAAAACTATCGACGAAAACTGATCAACGTGTAGTGGTGACGCCTATATTATGTGATGTACATTATAGTGGTAGTAGTGGTGGAACAACAGTACCTATATAAAAAAAAAACCAATTTATTTATCCTCCTCCTCCGGGAAACAAGTCTGGGTTATTATAATAATATAGCGTATATTGTGACGACTCAGCAGATCCAACACACACACATACACACAAACACACTCAACGGACGGTTATATTTTTCAACCGGTTCGGTTAGGTTAGTTCGACCGGCCGTTCATTCAGTCGGTGTCACTACAGCCACGCGCTCGTCGAACTGCATCACGACCGTAGATATATTTTATTATAACAATAATATAATATTATCTTCGTGAATCGTATTTCGTTGACTCAACCAATATTGCCGCTCTTTCGCGTCTACGTTTGTCTTCTCTCTTGCGAATAATTTTATAATATCAGGTAACACTCTGCATCTTACTCACTGCAGTCTATTGGAAATGTCAGTGTACCGAACTGTACAGTCATACATATTGTGTACTTTATTATAGGACGAAATATGACGCAGTCTTCGTTGAAGCAAGTGATCAACTTCGGGGCTGGACCGGCAAAGATCCCCAAACAGGTAGACTATCATTAAATACCTCACAAAAAAACGCATGTTTTGTTAAGGGGCGAAACTCCAGTCACGAAACAGTAATTTTTTTGGTAACCTTAAGCGTTATGAAAACAATTTATTTATTTATTTATAACTTGAAATTTGAAATCATTAGAGCATAACGTTTTAGAAAAAAAAAATTATTTTACTACTTTTTATTGTACAATTTTTAATTTTTTACTTTTTCAAATGTTTGTCAGCTTGCTTGGGTATCTGTGAAACTCCTCTCATTTAAAATCAAAATGCTTAAAGTTGTCAAAAAAACTTAAACATTTAATTCAAGGTTTCTCATAAATTGTAATTAGTGTAATTTATAACATAAGTTGAGTGTAGGTAAATTCATAGTACATTTTTATCTTCATAATGACAAACATTTTCAAATTATTTTGAGTTTCAACAATTTTCTTTTTATATCGAAGATTTGAAAATGTAACAAACGATTTCTTATTAGTTTTCCTCCTTAAAAAAAAAAATATTAACCGAAATTAATTTTTTATGAACGTTTGAAATTCAATATTTTTCAAAATGAATTTTTATACACGTAGACTATTTCTCATGGAACGATTTTCTTATTTTGTTGAAATCAAAACACAAATGGGTAATCGTAAATACTTGAAAGTTTTTTCTTATAATTATAATAACTTTTTCTATACATGGTATAATTAATGTTTTAATTCTTTTTAAGTTATTAATAGACATTTTTTTAGTTTTTGTTCTATAATTAATAGTTATCAATAAAAAAATTTCCCTCTGTCGAACAGCTTAGAAATTTTATACAAGGTTTCTCATAAGTTTGTATATAAATTCAAAAATACTAAAGATGCTATGGGTAGGAGGTTTATTAGCATTTAAAGTTCAACTTTTTACAATATTTATTAAAATCGCAAAAATGCAAATTATTTTGAAGCTTAAGATTATAAATTGTTTAGTTTTAATAGTTTTATTTAAAATTAAAAACAAGGTTCCTCATTAAACGTTTAAAAAATATATACAAACACAGTTAAGCAAAGAATAACAATTTTAATTATTTTGTTGTAATTGAAAAATATTATTAGCGGGTAATTAAAATTTTTAAAGTTTATTATTATATTTTATACACACAGTGACATTTTTATTTGTAATATTTTCGGCAAAAAATTAATTCAACCTTAATACTGTATTACTAATAGTAAAAGAATCACTTCAATAGCAGTAATTAGTAATATCATGTTATACATAGTTTACGGTTTATTATATTGACAAACCATCATCGTTTTTCATTTAAAAATGATTTTATATCATTCGTATTCACATCCATTACATTGACATACTCGGCACCTACTGTACAGCAAAGTGGATCCACTTAACCAC